AATTAATTAGGGTTCATTCTAATCGGATAGAGAAATCCCCAAATTCATAATTAGGGTTTATCTTAATTTGGGAGAATTATCCGAAAATCATAAATCTAATAACTATGACTCTGATACCACATGTAAGTTAATTTGCAGTTTCCTAATTTGCATATTCTCACATCATAAGATATTCTTACATAATAAGATACATGAATCATAATAAGAAGACTAACCTTGATCCATGAGAATTTGTTCTTTAATCTCTTTGTTCTCCAATCTCCTTTACCCAAGGGTATAGAGTTGTTGATATTCGTAATGTCAATCATAAGTCCTTAAGATTGTTCTAAAAGCTGACAGAGACATGAGCAACTGCCCTTAAATACTTATCTGTGGTATATTGCGCAAGTTCCCTAGGATACAATAGGAAATTCTCGAAATTTCCAAGGATCTCAGAAACTAGCAAGAAACTCTTAAAGTGATATCTATTTATAGGTGTAGATTGGGCCCAAAACCCTAACTACCTATGTTCTCTATAACGTTCTAAGTTTAAGAATACCCCTTATCTTACAACATATTCACCTTTGAGTAATTCAAAGATGTCTTGTAACGATAAATTTCAATTAACCCATAAACCAATTAAAATATGCATAATTTAGCATCTTTTGTTTTAAGGTATTTGACATAATTCAACTTCATTTTGAAATTAATTAAAGCATAAAATTTGATCACTTTGGTAATTACAAATTTACCATACAATTAATTCCTAAATTAAAGCAATGTTCCACTACCAAAAATATATATAATGTAATAGTGAATATGTTTTTCTCAATTCAAAGCTTTTATTGCAAATCATCTATCAATCGAATTCCAATTGGAATTGCAACTTACCATATTTCATGAATAAAATCCCTAAATTTCATAATTTCAAATTAGGGGTTCTATAATTTGGAGAAAACATCATTCACAAATAATCATAAATTCTTAATCTGGCTCTGATACCAATATCAACTTGTAGTTTCAAATATTCTAATTTAATTCAAGAAAATATTATATTTCATAGGAAACTTAGGAATTATGATTCTCACAAATATATTATTTTCTCTTTTCTTACTTCCTTTTATGACTTTCTTGATGATATAGAACAAGTTTTAAATTTTAGATTTTAGATTTTTACCTGATATGACGTACTGTCGCACTGCAAATAAAGAAATGTCAAATAGTTCCTTGCTTGAGTTGCATTATCTCCTTCTACCCCTTGAAATAAGTGAAATCGAAACACACACAAGCAGAATGCCAACAACCAACACAAGTACACAACATATAAGAGATGACTTAGATGAGAAATTGAAAATATTTAGTCATTAACTATGTGTTATGTGTATGTATCAAACACTCAAACTAAGTAGTATGAAAAGTAAAGAGAATGAATAGATGAGAACTAAAAAGTCACATAGAAAGAGAAGATAAAAATTAAAATTAATTAGTAAAAGAATAGAGATAAAAAAATAAAAAATTTTGGACTTCTTTAACTATTAATATTAACTAACCAATTTTTTTAAATATTATAATTTATTAAAAAAAATTGTTAGAAATAATATTAGTATTAAAAAAAATTTAGGAGGCCTTTTTTTAGGGGGGCCTAAAGCAAGGGCTTTAGCTGCTTGGGCCTTGAGCCGGCCCTGATTCTATATATTCATTGTCATCCATGTTAATTGATGACTTTGTTGCAAGTTGCCTTTGACATATGAAACTCTAACGAATATGTTAAATAAGAAATTAAAAACAAAATAAAATATACTTATCTTTGTCACCGTCTCTCCACTCACAACCACACCTCCTTCCTCAAGTCTCTCCACTTCATCTCCCTTCACCATCAAAACTCTAACCACGTTATGAACCTCACTAGAGCCACCACGTCCTCCCTCCTAGTTGTGTCGCTCATCGCACCTAACCATCACCCCTCCATCGTAGGCAATCGCGTCGCGCTACCACCATAAACCTCACTGTTAGTCACTAAGTGTGCTCATCTCATCTACCTATCGCTCCCCCTATTAGGTTTAGGTCAAGACAAAGCTCAATTGAAATATGGGTCGAGAGACTAAGAGTGTGGGCTTAAAGGATATGTGACCCAAATTTGAGGGGATGAAAATAACATAAAATGTTTCAAATAGTAATTTGAAAGATTTTTTATTTTTATGAGTTATTAGGCCTAATGTTTTTTTTTTGTTAAACTAAACAACATAACAAAAACAAAAAAACAAGTTACAAATACTAATAAGTCGAAAAATTTATTATTATTATTATTACTATTAGTTTATCCGAATTTCAAATAAAAATGATTCTATTTTTTTCTTTTTCTTTTTTTTAAAATGATTTAAATTAGTATATCATTATTAGAATATTGAAAATTAAATTTCAATAATTATCACTTTCTTTTCTTGAGTGCTATTAAACATGCAATATTGTTATTATTAGAGTATTAAGAGAATATTCATAAAGGTTTAACCACTTTGGATGCACATCTAACTTGATTGCTATAAAATTATAATAATCACTTCAAATGTATTTTTGATTTGATTATGACAAAAATATTTTAAAAAAATATATTTTTTAAATCCAAATAGAAATTACAAATACGATAATTTAAACATTTAAATTACTTTGGATGTACTTTCAATTTAATTCAAATTATAAAAATGATAATCATCTTAGATGTATTTCTAATTTGATTATGGGAAATGATACTTTGATAACATAAATTCATACAACTCTATAAACAACTCTCTTTTAATATTATAATAATAATTTTCCTTTATTTTTATTTTTATTAAATCATTATATAGATTATTATATTAATAAAAGTGAGTTGTTTAAATGATTGTATGGTTTCTAGTTGTCAAAATATCACCACTCTTTGATTATTACGTGTACACGTTTAACTTAGCAACACAAATAGATAAATTAAAATAAATTATTTACAAATATTTGTAAGAAAGAATTACGTTATTTCGATTCTCCATTGCACCTGAGGATACATAGGAGCGGGAAGATGATCCATGTCGAGCCAAAATATAAAAATATATAACCTTTTATATTTAGTAGCACATTTAATAGATATATAAGTTTGAGGGATAAAATAAATAATTTTAAGATATCTAATTTTTTATGTCTAATTAAAGGTAAACCGATTTTAGAATGGATGTTGTAGGGTGTTAATATCTTCCTTACATAATCGACTCTTGAGTCCAATCTTTATTTCGCAAGCCACCTTTTTTTTTTTAAAGGTTTTTACGATATTTTCCTTAAAATAAATATTAGTGGCGACTACATTATTTTTCTTTGATTTAGAAACTTAATTTTATTGCCCAGTTGCGATTATGGTTGCGACAGTCATCTTCACTCGAAATTTCATATCAAGGATCGTGGATCTCTTAAGTTCTTTCTTAGTCTAGAGGTTGGAAGGTCTAAGAAAGGTCTAGTTTTGAATCAAAGGCAATACTGCCTTGAGTTTCTTTCTGAAGTTGGTATGTTAGGATGCAAACCAACCCCCAATCCTACTAATCCTTCCGTCAAATTGCATGTAAATCAAGGTTCTCTTCTTCTAAATCCTTCTTCTTATAGAAGACTTATTGGTAGGTTGATCTACCTCACTCGTACAAGGCCAAATATAAGTTTTGTTGTTGAACAGAGTAGTCAATTTGTTTCTACACCTAGAGAACCTCATTTACATCAAGCTATGCATATTCTTCAGTACTTGAAAAATGCTCCTGGTGCTAGTTTATTTTATCCAGCCAACAATCCTTGACAAATACAAGCATTCTCCAATTTTGATTGGGCCACATGTTCTATTACAGGATACTATATCTTTCTTGCATAGTCATTATTTTCCTAGAAATCTAAAAAGCAAACTACTGTCTCTAGGTCATCTTCTGAAGATGAGTACAGAGCACTAGCCTCCCTAACTTGTGAACTACAATGGCTTCCATATTTGTTCACAAATCTTCACCTTTCCATTTATGTTCCTTTCTCTACTTAATAAAATAGCTAGTCTGCAATTTAGATTGTCAATAATTCTACATTTCATGGAAGAACTAAATATATATATATATATATATATATATATATATATATATATATATATATATATATATATAGATAGATAGATAGATTGATTGTCACATAATTCGGATCAAGATTCAAGAAGGACTTGTCAGGTTAATATAAATTTCTTCTTCTTAATTAACAATTGGTTGATGTGCTTACTAAATCATTTTATCTTGTTTCTTTTAAGATTTATGTGTCCAAGATGGATCTCTCAACATCCATGACACACCTTAAGAGGGTATTAGAATAATGAATGAACTATTTTCATTCATTTTCGTTCAGGTTGTTATATTGTTACTTACTCTAGTCATCATCCTAGAGTTAGAGTTAGTTAGTTTTTCTGTTTGTTAATTTGTTAGTTTATTGACAACTAATCTCCTGTATATAAACTAAATACTTCTAAATGTTAGGTTACGTTCAATAAATCAATTTTCTTTCTCAAGGTTAATTTTTTTTTTCTATTCACTAACAATTGTCTTCTTTAATAATATATGTCAACACATAAAAAGAATGGTCGTACAAAATTGTAAACAATGATTGAATTTTATATAATTTTATTATATGTAATATGAGAGTATACTTTGTTAACAAAATCAAATTTTGAATGTGTTTTAAACTTGCATTACCAAGATAAAACATAATCATTGATCTTCGTTATAAAGATTCTAACTGTCAAATGCGTGAACGTGTAAAGAAAACAAATATAAAAGTCCTAGATCCAAAAATGTTGTGAATAAGCTATGTCGTCTTAACATGTAATCACACATACTCTATAGTTCTAAGCAAGAAAAGAGAAGAAAAAAAATCTAACTTTTACTATTTTCTTTTTCTTTATATGCATATACCAACGAAGGTTCTAAAATCGTTTGTGAAATCAACACCACGTACTTGGATTGATTTGAATGAAATGTTGTCTATCGAAAAGTTGATATAGATACACCATTAACTATTTTTGCACCGGAGCCAATATCCCTAAGTGGTTTGTCAGTGTATCTAATTAGGTTATAGCATGTTGCACCTAGTATGGCACCAACAAATGGTCCAACTACATAAATCCAAAATCCATTGTAAATGCCCATCACCAAAGCAGGTCCAAGGCTTCTTGCTGGGTTCATAGACGCTCCTGACACAGGTCTGCATGCATGCCATTATCAAACTCAAGTCAAAATCATGGTACACAGTTTTAGCAAATAAATCTTCCTATAATTAACTCAAATGCAAATTTTCATCTCCATGTGTGCATGTTCATACACACCTATAACAATACTTCAATTCATAACAAAATTTACTGCTAAATTACCCAGCAATGAAGACGTCTACGATGATTGTCATACCAACAACAACCCCTCCAAATTTCCCATTCTGTTAAGAAAGAAGAATTTGCATTATTCACATGCTTATGAAGTTATTTTTTAAACTGGGTGTCATTTCTTGAATAGAAGAAGAATTAGGAACGTTAGAATGAAATCAGAGTATACTAACTGCTCTCTTGTCCGTTGAAACTGCAGAGACAACGAACATCAAGAGAAATGATGTAAGCAACTCTAAAACAAGAGATTCAGAATGAGCTCCTGCTGGTACTGTTCCAAAATAAGAATTCGCGTCTGGTTTAAAGAGAAGGTACAATGTCCCACTAGCAAGGAAAGAACCTAATACTTGCGCCATAAAGTACAACGGCACCTGCAAAAATTATGCAGAGAACAAATTTAATAATATTATGAACCGATCGAACATAACATGAGAACCGAAGTAGTAACATTTACACAATGAAACCAATTTGAGAATGTCGAACACGTTGATGTAGATTGTTTAACCTAGTTCATAAATAATAATAATATTAACCCAACATGCCATTTTGAAAGGGAAATGACTATGGATAGCAAAGCTGATAGTGACTGCTGGGTTGAAATGAGCACCAGAGACGTGAGCAAGAGCATAAACCAAGATCATTACTGTTGAACCCCACACTATGCAAATTCCGGGAAATGTTATTTGCCCTTTAGTCTTTTCTGAATTATTAAGAATCACAGAGCAACACCCAGCAAATATTAAGAAATATGTCCCTATCAACTCTGCAAATACCTGTTACACAAACATTTTATTCTTTAGTTGTTTCTGTCATCGTCACCAACAATTAACCCCATGCAACATCGCAACATGAACTAAATGAAATCAAATTGATGAAATCTATGACCTTTGGTATAACTATTAACTCCATATATCCAACAAAAGTGAATTTTACATCTTGATGCTTGAAATTAATTATGCAGATAATGGCATCATGTATATATATGTACCTTTTGTATAACTTTAACTATTGCTGGAGAATCACAAAAGCTAGTACCACTTTCAAAGCCTCCTTCACCTTCTTCCATTTGTGATGAAAACCTATTACAATATGCCTTTCGTTTCTTTAAATTGCCATCATCCATTTTCTTTTGGTGGAGATGAGTTTCTATGAGGATAGTTGGTAAGAAAAGCATACTAATTAATAGGAGAGCAACGTCGATTTTGGTGGTTTAGCTGTTTTCAGGAGTAAACAATGGATATGCAATAAGTGCTTAATGGAACTGTACACGTGCCAGTGCTAGGATATATATGTATAACCAAAACTAAATCGAAATATTAGTTTTAGAAATGTAATAAGTGAACCCAAAATCACACCACTTAGTTTTTTTTTTTTAATTGAATGTGAAGATTTAAGGAAATTGCACGAAATTTGGAACAAAAAACTTTAACTTTCTCACAAAATCTTATTTATATAAAATAAGAAACATATCAATTTAAGTAAATTACGTGCCTACAAAATCTAATTATCCTGATTTAAAATAAGGACTAAAAAAAAGTGAGAGATTTAAAACTTACAATTAAGAAAAAAAAAACAGATTTGTATAAACTGAAAATATATTTACTTATATAAAAAAATATACTTATTTCAACTTGGAACTGTATTTCTAAAAAAAATGCAACTCTATTTAGTAAGTGATATCTATACTCTTAAAATAGTAATGGTTATTCCACCATCCAAAATAACACTTAAATCACCTATTAGCTTACCTCGACGGAAATGGGCCACAAAAACAAGTTGGGCCTTGTTATTCCAAAACCCCATCTTTAAGCTCAGTTAGCCTGTGTTTGGTTCAGCCTATTTATTGTCACGCGGACGGATATAGGATAATTTGAATGGATTAAATAAGTTTGGTTCAGAAAAATGAATATGAGAAATAAAGGAGAAGCAATAAGAGAAGTGAAAAGCTAAGTGAACCTGTTTTGATGAAAAATACTATTTTATCCATAAATTAATCTTTTAAATGCCATTTTTATTTATTTTTACTTTTCATCACTCACTCATTCGTCATCAAATTTAATTATTTATATTTGTTTATTTCACAATTATATAATATTATATGAATTTTTTTATAAAAATCATATGTAAATAAATTATGTATTAATTATATTTTAATTTTTTTTAATTAAATATTTAAAATAATATAAATTTTATTTTTTAAAATATTTTTTTTATTTTTCTCTGTTCTTTTTATTCCATAAAACTATTATACTTTAATAATTATTTAATAATAATAATTATTATAAAAATATATATAAATAATAATTATTATTATTATTATAATAAAAAAAATAATTATATTTATAAGAACAATTATTATAATAATACTTTTAATAATAAAAATAATAATTTTCATGTTCTAATTAAAATAAAAACTATTTGTAATATTCTAAATTCTAATAATAATTTTTATCAAAAGGATAATTTAGTAATTTCCAATTTCTTTTTATTAAAACATTTTTTATTATGTATATAGATCAAATCACTCGTAAACTTTTTCTCTCATTTCTTATCATTTTTTCTTTAATCAGGCCACTTCATATTCACCACTTTTTTTCCCTCGAATACATCATTTTCCACACCTTCCTTCAAATTCATTATCAAATATAAACCGTATCTTATAACTTTCTTATATACATTCTTTGTACTATGTATGTGGACAAAATCTCATTGAGATAGTGAAAATATTATGTATCTAAATACATAAAATAAAAATAGTTTTGAAGATATATAACGAAAATGCTTCTTTCAGAATTTAGATAAGACTTATCAAAATATATTTTTATTATATATTATTGACAAGATTTTATCCATTTATTTTACGAATCTTAAATCATCTTGTTAATGTATACAGCAAAAAATTATTTCCTTTATATATTTTGATAGGTTAATTTTCAATTTTTATTGGCCTAATTAAAAGGAGTTAAGAACCTAATTATTTGAAGACTTTTGTTTTCTTCACTTATAAATATATTTGGTTGACAAAAACGATCTTTTAAAATGTTTTTACACATTTAAAAAATGGTTGCATAATCCTTATAACTTATAAGACATTGTGAAAAACCTGTTATAGAATGTGTAATCTAAAATTATTATTTTTACGTCTTATATTACAAAATTTGTCACCCTATGCCTCTTTTTCTGAAATACATCATATTGGATTAATAAATAAATGATTTATTTTAAAAGTAGTAACAAAATATTACATCATCATTTTTCTCTTTCAACTTAAAAATAAAGAATGACGAAATTTTGGTCTCCAACGGTCACCCCTGTCTTGTGCTTTTCCTTTGTCCTTTGGTTGTATTTTGGTCACTCTTTCATCAACTAAATCTTTTGAATCACTGTGGTATGAGCTACCTTTACAACTATCTTTTGAAACACTATCATATGAGTTACATTATCTCCCTTCCACACATGCTTTTGTTAAAAATTGGACTAGATCTACCATCACACAACCACTACATGTTCAAAATCACTAATTAAATAATTATATATATATATATATATATATATATATATATATATATATTCTCTAATATGACCTATTTTTCATAAGTTAATTCATCAAATTAAATTTATTTTTAACACCTTAATTACATGGAAAAAAAAACTTAAAGTAGAAATTAATAGACAAAATCACAATATTTTTCTTTAATTATAATAAAATATAAATAAATATTCTTTTAATTAAGATACTTAAGTATTCTTAAAAATAAAATTAGTATAGTAATACATTTCAGATGTAATTTTAAGTTTGTTATTACAAAATACTACGAAATTTTGATAATCACTTTAAATATATTCTTTGATTATTATAAAATATTTATAGAAATTTAAAAGGATAAATAAAAATCAATACTTAAATTGATCTAAAAGTGAACATAAATTATTTTAAATTTAAAAAGAGAGAAATAAGGGATAAATTTAATTTTGTTTGGCAATGATTACTTTTATAAGACTTTTGATTTAATTATTACTAAACTTATAAAAAAATTATGATAATGAGTATGCTTTTAATTTGATTATTAAAAAATATATAATTAGATAAAAATTACTTCAAACATGGTTGGTTATTACAAAATTTGAATGTAGTTTTAATTTGATTATCATAAAATATTTATCTTAAATATTAAAATATTTAGATAAAAATATGAATAGATTTAAAATTTTATAGTACTAAATAATTATTATTTTGAATACATTTCAAATTTTTGGTTGTTGTAAAAAAATATATTAAAATATATGATTATATAAAATTTTTCATTTAAAAATATTTTCTAAAAAACTACATAACTTTATTTATCCATTAAGTACGAGTAGAGCTAATATAGAACCAAAACACTAAAAATAATATTTATTATTATAATAAATTTAACGTAAATATATTAAATAAACGATAAGATATTATTTTAATTAGTCTTATTTATTTTTAAATGATGTAATAAATATTTTTTTAATTATTTATTTTTTCATATTTTATTAAAAATAATAGTAGGACGGGTATTATTGAATATTAAAAAAATACATATAATTGATTCTCGAATATAAATTTATTTTTTTATATAATTTTTTTTCTTGCAATTTTTTTTCTGATTTTTTTTAAATAAATATGGGTTGTTACTCCGTTATTTTAAAATTTATTCTTTTGACATCTCACTACGATATTGATTATACATGTGGTGTTTATGCAATAGAAGTCTTGAGTTAGAAACCCAAGAAATAAGTGATTAGGGAGAGTTTGTTCCCTTAATTAGACTCTGGGACAAAATTCAAGAGGATATTTAAGAAAGAATTAAAAAAAAAATCACTTGTAGATCCTAAAAGACAGTTAATATTATTATTTTCTCTTTAATGTTTTCCCAAATATTTTTTATCAAATATTTTCTTCTTGTGTTTTTTTCTTTTATCTTTTAATTTACTTAATTGTTCACTTGACATCCAATCCCTTTTAAAATTAGAAGACCTCCTCGAAGTTTCTTCATATTATTCTTTAGACTCCTTTATATTCTTGTATATATTGAGAAGAAGAAAAAAATAAACCTAATTTATTATATATAAATAAAAAAGACTTTTTATTTATTACTTAATACTCTCCTAGTTGATAGTGTTTTTTTTTTCTTATTTATACTTTTTCTTCTTGAACTCATTTAGGAGTGAGGGATTTTTAAATATTTTTTCAAATTAGTTGGAATATGTTATTTATGAAAAATTATATATATATATTTATTTGCTGTATTTATTTTTTTATTACTAATTAATTTATTTAGTTCATATGTATTTACATAAATAACCTTACCTTTAAGGAGAAACATTTTTACTCTTAGACTTCCTTCGCCTCGTACACTAAGATGTTTAATTTCTTATGTCTATCAATTTTTTATTTATTCAAGAAAATAAAATATATATATATATATATATATATATATATATATATATATATATATATATATATATATATATATATATAAGTACAAACACACATACTAAACGTATACGTCTATATTTTTTATATAATAATTTTTTTCTTTATTTTTTAAACGTGTCAACTTTCTTTCCTAATATATCATTTTATTTTGTCATATATTTACTATTTTTTAAATATATAAATATATTTTTTTAATTTTGATATTTTTATTTTTATTCTTAAATGACAAAAAAATAATTATAAAAAAGAAGCTCATTATATTATAATATTATATATATATATATATATATATATATATATATAATATCTTGTATTTCTGATTTTGTTTTTACAAAAATTTTTGTTTAAATTGTTTAAAAACAAAATTAGAAATACAAGATATACCTACTTTCTTAAAATAAAAGTATAAAAGACAAAAATTTAATCGACACTAGGACTTCAGTCTTAGAAACCCGATTAAAAATACTTGAAGAAAAGATTCTTCACTTAGAAAAATTTGTTAAAGGAAAATATACTTGAAAAAGGTTTAGTATCCACCTCTACACAAAACAACATAATGGGAACTATGGAACGTATCTCATTAGTTTGTAATACAAAACAACTAATAACCATAAAGATATCGGTAAAATTAAACTTTCCACAAAAAAATAAAAATC